TATTTGGTTGCAAAAAAAAGTTTATACTGGTAGTGCTTATTACTTATTCCATTCTTTATCTGTGTATTTTATGAACGGTGCGAAATAAATACTCTGACTCCCCGCAGTAGACCTACATATCTTATTTATTTCAATGCAAATATTATCGAAAATATTTTAATATTAAAACTTAAATAGGTGTACGTAGTGTTACCCGCGGGAGATAGAACGGCAATCAGTTCGTCCGCCCCGGGAGGTTGCATTAATCACAAGCCGAGCCACCACGCCGCACCGCGCTGAGTACTCTCTCTACGCGTAATACACAGTACATCATACTAAACTGTATTTAATTGCTAATTAGAAATACGCCTTTAAGATTAATTGAAAGAAATAAGATTAATAGAAAAACAGAGCTAACATCTTTCAAACAATACCGATATCGAACCGACGTTGCTGACAAAATATTAAAGAAAAAGAATCATCAAAATCGGTTCACCTAGTCAAAAGTTCTGAGGTAACAAACATAAAAAAAAAATACAGTCGAATTGAGAACCTGCTCCTTTTTTTTAAGTCGGTTAAAAACCATCATCAATAGCCTTTAATAGTCCACTGCTGGACATAGGCCTCTCCTTAGAAAGGAGAAAAACTCCTTAGAAAAACCATGTTTGATAAAATTGATTTAATCTGCACCATGAAATTCAGTACAAGAAGAAGAAGCCCAAAATCGATCTAAGTGGCGTGCAATGGGAGAGGCCTATGTCCAGCAGTGGACTGCGATGGGCTGATGATGATGATGATGATGATGAAATTCAATCACGATGATCGATTATTACTAGACTGTCTATCTGATTCGCCAAACAACACCATATGATTCGCCAAACTACTATAGCCCTTACTACTTTTTGTTAACTTTCCTGTTCCAAGATATATAATTATAATGTTCAAACACAAAAATTAATAAAGGCTGAGCCTATGTCCACAGCCTACAACCTGTCGAAACGTCTGGCCATGGCTAAAAGTATGAAATACCTATTACACTGTTACACGGGAAATGGGAATTACCGCATGCAGCGTTAATTCCTATTTCCCATACCACTACAGTGTATAAACAGCATTTTGCGTGCCAGAACCACTTGTGAACCTATTCCGTGCGTGTTTAATAATAGTAAATGAGTATAGGTTGAGTTAAAAAATGTTGATGCTACATTGATGCTGACATAATATCGACAGCATTGTCATTTAAAATAAAGTTTAAAATACATCATTCAACAGAAAAATATATTTCTACGATTACGTACGATTCACACAGATATATGTAGGTCGTGTTGCAAGTGTGTGCGAGCCGGGTCGAGGAGTACTCCCAGGAGACGGTAGAAAGTGCGGCCGGAGCGAAGCCACCTGGGATCCAGGACGGTGCGGGGGGTGGTGGGACCATTAGACAAGTAACAGACATAAACGATGAACGCTTGTATCGGGCAACGTTCAGCTCGACTGATGACGATATTATATCTACGGCGATATAATCTTTTCCCCAGTGTAAACAACAAACACTTTTAGTAATTAAGCATTGAAACAACATCGGGCTCAGGTCGTGGGTCATACCCTCGTGGCTGTTGATAATATCTAAATGCCTAATGGCTGCTGGGCCTGTGACGAATGTATCGGGCCGCCGCGCGCCGCCCCTCGCGCGTCCCCCGCTTCTCCACTATGTGATAATTCCAAACGCTGCGGCCGCGCCACCTGGGATCTCACAGGGCCGCACTCCGCATACTACTAACGGAATAAATATTTCCAGTATTTTCAATTTTACTAAACAAGTAGTTTACTCTTTATATTTTAGTTCTAATGATAACACAACAACACTTTGCGGTGGGTTCTGTTAATTAAAATATTTGTGTTGGCATCCTGTGTAATATGTCGCTGAATATTGTTATGTTTTGTTGCAAAGCCTTTTCCCAGTCTTATACGTATGTAATTGTCTGTCAGCAAGGACTATAGGAAGAACTAGGACATATATAGGAATAAATGGGAGAAATTTACACTGGGCTACACATATAGAGCCAACGATTAAGTAAAAGTAAAATTGAACACTCAATAAGGCTCTCACACTCCAAAAAGATCGTCAACAGACCTTATATGCTAAAGAAATGGTTATTTTTGTTTTTTAACTCAAAATATTGATCAGGTTAGGTAAGAAATTATCGAATCGAAGCTTGTGAACAATTTGGGAACTGTTGACGCAAAAGCGAAGGGGCATGCGGAGCGGTGTCGGCGGAACGCGCGTCCTCACCGCTTGGAATTCGCAATGCACCCCCGCTACAGTCCCGAAAGCCCGACGATAGAACATTGGCATTTAATTAGCCACGTGCCTGACCGAGACACCATCCTACACCCGACCAACATACCTCACATTGTTGTCCGTTTATGTTGACAGAATAACTTACAGAAATGTTTAGGATTATTTAATTGACAAATTTGTAGAGATAAACTTGTCCATAACATAATTTGCTATAAATGACTCAGTTATGAAAGCTCTACAAAACTTTAATCATTTCTGTTATGTGGTAGTTTGTTCCTGCTTAGAATACTTACTACGTTTTTACTGATATTTTAGTTGAACATAAATAACATAAAACAAAATCAGTTTTGTATTACTCGTTTTAAATTTAAATACTCTTTAAGTAGTCAAAAATGAATATCATCAAATCAAACTAAGTAAGCAAAAGATTCAGATGACAATATTGTCCATTGACGGCTTAATGTTATGAAAGTAACCAAACCTATTAAAACCTTTCCTACTTTATGTTCTCTTTTTTAATAATTTAACTATCTTTAAAAAGTTTAGTACCTCATCTTTTGTTATTGTAACCATTTACTATGAAAAAAATCGGTTGTCTGTAAAGTCGGTTTACTGACGATAGTTGAACGTGACAACGTCATAAGAAAATACTGATGGAATGGTTGCATTTTACGAAAACATGTAAATGTATTATTGTATAGCAGCTGCCCACGCGGACGCATCGCTCACTCAAGTAGGAGAGAGAGAGAGATGTCAAACGCTGCCAAAGGCGGAGGCCGATTGTGCCTCTTTGTCGCTCGTTGCGCGCTCTCGCTTGCACTTCAAGCCTTAAATGGAACGCCTCAGAGCGAGGTAACGCCGCATGAGTCATGTTTTTTCGTGCGTGCAGCCGGCTCCATCGAATTATAAGACGTTGTCACGTCAAAAATTTATACAATGATTTATATTTTGATAAGAAGGAGGTGACGTTTACACCAAACACAGAACACTTGTGGATGCGTAACTTCTTTTTTTTTTATATTGTTACTGTCTAACTAAATTATAACTGGCGCTAGAAGTGTTTACATTTAAACATACAGGTAATTAAATACTTAAGAAAACGCAGAGTCCTATCAAGTCAAATCCATTACTGTTTATTACACGTTAAAAGGTTACGTTCTGTAGAAATTACACTTTTGATGTCATTCTTAGCTACTATCATGTCATTTCTTTTTAATATTTGTGGTTACGTTTAATAAATTGAGAAATAGATTTTTTCTTAACTCGCCATTGATTTTACTTTTCATATTAGTTAAACGTAGATAGACCTAGTTAAACATGCCTTACATCTTTGAAACATTTAAGAATTTACACATCTAACACACACAAAACTAAAGAAGTCCAAATTATAAATAAAAAGTTATTTATGACCAAAAAGTCATGATATAGACTAATTCAGAATTGATTTAGTTATCATTATTTTGTTTTGTTTCACAAATGTTGTTGTACAGACTACAGTACAGGCGAGCTAAAATATACGGGTGTCGAGTGCGGTCCCTGCAGCGAGGTCCCTCGGGAGCGAGCCCGCGCGCCCAACTTCGGGCTCAACGGTGGCAGCACCCCCGCGCCCGCACCACTCCACCCCCTGCGCACCGCACCTCACCCCCGCAGAGAATACATTTGCGCAACATGACTGTTGGCCTAACAACGGCTCCGACAGCGGGAACCACACACTGGGAAAAATTACTCCTTTTCCTATACGGCGGAGATAGTTGAAAAATTGTGTCAAGACAAAGCCTCCCACCAAAATATAGCACCGTTTACTCCTATCGTACCGCATTTCTGCAGTTCCATAATGTGCATTAAGGTATTTGCTATAAAATTTAAACAATACGACATTTATATATTATTGTAAGGGTGCCATGAAAGAAGGGTCTATTGTCTCCAGGATAATACTTTTCTTACTATCCGATTGTTTTCATATAGACTTGTCTACCAAGCCAAGTTTTGCAATGCGTCTTTATATTCTAGTAAAATAAGAAGTTCCTTTTGTTCCTCAACGTAGCTGTGTTAAATTATCAACGTACTGTAAAACGTACGTAATATTAAATGACGTAGCGTTTTATCTTTTTCTTGAATGGAAACATACCACATCAAGTTTTATAACTCTCAATAACTCTTACAAAGATTTTGTTACGACTAAGTAGCATAAAATCTAAATTATCTGGGTGGTATAAAATTAAAATGTCAACTTCGCAGTATGGCCTATCATTTTAAAAACTTTCAAGTCATGAAAGATAAAGTGTAGCTGACGCTGGCCGATGATGGGCGCGGTTGCCAATTTATTTATAATCTCTAGAGCAGAATTGACTACGAATTAGCATGTAAATATTTGAGGTCCAAGGGGGCCGGTGGAGATTTATCGCGAATGGAGGGAGATAAGCGAGGACGGAGTCGTAAAGCACTGGCAGACGACGACGCACTAGTCCTCTCAACGCCAATACACCCTTTGACGAAGTTGTAAAAAGAGCATTAAACCGCAGTAAAAACGCATCGGCCGCGTGGGCGACACTCACAACACGAGCTCCTCGTTATTTTAGTAGCCTCCTTATGAATTTCAATGAGATTCAGACATAATGAGCTTTGCTCAGAGGTTTTCGCAATATTAAATAGTGTACTCTTATCTTAGCTCTGTAAAGTTCGACATAATTTATGTAACCATTATTATCTAACTCGATTCCTATCATATACAATCACGACTATTCAAAATGCAAATTTCTTTTTTCTCACCTGGCATCTCTTCGGAGTCGAACAACTCTGATGTTTTGTTTTCGTTATGCTTTGTATCTTCAACATCTGTAACAAACAGTTTTTTTTCAACCGATAACCAATAAAATTGCACCTTGCAATTGCAATTGCACCCGTGGTTTATTTTGCATATGTACAGCGTTAATCATTATGCAGTTGATTTCAAATACTTTTTTGCTTGAAATGGTATTATTTTAGATAGATATGAAGAAAAAAAATCTATTGTTACGACGGAAAGATAGGTATTCAACCGTGATAATTACTCGTATAGTAGCATCTTAAGGAAGATTTTTACAGGTTCTAATACAACATGTACCTTTTGGAAGTCGAATTTAACAAATTTCTAATTGGCGTATCAAAAGCTACTTTGAAAATTATAAAAGCATCTTGAGGTTATCTAATGATGTAAACTCAATAAGTGTTTGTACTCATATGTCTAACAAATTGAGTTTGTCCCGCTGAGCCAGGAAACGGGTAGTGGAAATTTTTCAGATTAATATTAAAGCGTTTGTTTTCGACTTGTTTTTAGGAATTACGTCTTCAATAATTCTAGACCGTACTAATATATACATATGGTCTCGTTGTTGAGATAGACATTCATATACAAATACTTGCATTGAGCAAAAATCAATCCCGCGACCATCCTTGCGCACTATCAGCACAGTGTACTCATTTCCTATGTCGTGAAGAATTCATATCTCGTGAATTCCTTTTTAGTGTATAGACTAAGAAAATACCTATTTATAAGTAAAAATATAAATAAGAATTAAAGAAATCTTACTCAAAACAACCTTTTTGATCATTCTCATTAGGAAATTCTCAGCATAATATATCGGTGATCCGAACCTGTCTCCTCCCCAACATCGACGCTCCAGACCTGGACACGACGCGCTAGCGAGGGGCACGCAAACGTAGCACAAGAACCGGGTGGGGGCGACAGGCATCGACGACGACGGCCAGCTGAGCGAGCCATTGCTCGTACTCAGTTATGTCTCGGTTCAGCGTGAAATAAGCGGCCACGACCGCTATATCCCCAACCACCACCGCTACGCAGCCCCGTCCCCTTGCAACCACGGCAAGAGGTGGGGTGCCGACTGTGGTACCGTTCACCAGTGCCGCCAAGCCGTCCAAGTCGGTCTCCCAGGCAGTCCCGAGAAACCGATGGACATATGCCACCACCGTGCCATGCTCTGGAGCAGAAGATCCTGAGCATCGTCACCGTGGCCCACGTTCGCCTGGAGGATGCGGAGATATGGATCCATTATTGGAGTTCTATCTCCGCATCCCACCGCAAACTTTAACGCTCTCCAGTGGCACTGCCCGTCTGCACCAGCGGCTTGGAGGCGGAAGGTCGGCCTCCCGTCGTCTCCCAAAAATCACCTAAAGGTAACAGGCTGCGTTTGGAAACAAACAACGCACAGTTAATGAGGTACAATTACCAACTCCACCCACTGCACAGCTAAGCTCAATCAAGCGCAGCGGGATCGTATGAGGTTACCGCAACATTTCATCGGAGGCAGAAACAATCCTGGCACGTTTCCCGCCTTTTGATATGAATATGACTATAGGGTATATGACCAGATTTGCGCAATCAGCCGGGGTGAGGGCGAGAAGGACCAGGACGAGCTCGAAATGCGGCGGAACGCTCACCAACAGGCACTGGGGCAGTGGCGCGCGCGGCTGGAACTGCCTCGGAATGCGCGCCAACGCGCTGTCGGTGCTGCTCTGCCTAACCTCGAAGCTTGGATAGGTAGGGAGGGAGGTCGCGTCACCTACCGATTAACGCAGGTACTCACTGGGCATGGTTGCTTCGGCGAGTACCTGAATCGGATTGGACGCGAGAAGACGGCACAATGCCAGGACTGCACATCCGACTAGGACTCTGCGCTGGAAGCATACGCTGGAAGACTACCCCACATGGGCGTCTGAACGCTAGGTCCTAGTGGACCAAATCGGACGAGACCTGTCTCGAATCATTTCTGCCATGCTGGCGGGTGAGGAGAGTTGGATCGCAGTGGTCTCTTACTGTGAGGGTGTAATGCTCCAGAAAGAGACCGCTGAAGGGGATCGAGAGAGGGCCGATCCCGAGCGTAGAGGACGTCAGAGGCGATAGTAGCCGTCGACGGGGCTGCAAGCTGCCAGAGAGTGGGGAACTCTGATGGCAGATTTATTACGGCAGTAAGGGACATGGGAGCGGCCTGATTGCACCAAAATGCGATCGGGGTCCTAGATTAAGTGATAGGTGGGGGAGGCTTCTGGCTTCCATCGAGATAAGACCTAGTAGGTGCGGCCTCGATCCGCGGGGCCTGAAATCACATGGTCCGGGTCCTCCCCAAAGTAGGGTGCCTGACGCCGGTCGTCGGGGTGGGTTTTAGTGGAAACACCACATACTCCTGACTCTTGCTGTAGATTCCAAGGGATCGTCACCAAAAAAAAAAGTACAATTACAACGTTGGTAAGTACTTTATAAATAAATTAATAATTTAAAGCGAGTATACTTTTAAATTATATATTAGAAGTAACAAATAGATTGTAGAGAGTATAAATAAGTCTGTATGCCATATATTTATCTTATTTTGTCTTAGGATAAGAATTCACCACCATTCCATGCAAATATTTTTAAATATTAGCATTCACTCATAGCATAAAACTCATTCATTCTAATTTTGAATGTAAAAGAGACATAAACAGGTCGCACTTCGATCGATCTTCCTAAAATTCTAAAGTAACGCATTCATTATACATGTACTCAAAAATCATAAAACCCTTCGCGTCGAGCGACAAGCGACGGATCCGTCACCTGGGGCCTTATATGACAAGCCAAAAGTAAAGACGATAATGTAAATGCATCGAACTCGACAGTTTTTATTCGTTCCCTATAGGCATTTCACTCGAAGACTAATGTGCGCGAGTTTGAACGAACAAAACATTATATTGAAATGAGCTGATATTTAATGGTTAAAATTATGAAAAAAAAATTTTTATCATTGTATAAAAACAAACGAACAGGCGGGTCATATGATTGCAAGTGATTACCTCCGCTCATTGACTCAAAAGACACAAGTCTTGCGAGGGCCCCCTACCCTCGCAAAAATTATTAGAAGAGAGAGAGAGAGAGAGAGAGAGAACATTAAAAGGGAGAGATAGAGGATTTCGGACCTCACACAGCCTCCTTCACTCTCTAAACAGCAAAGAAAGAGTCGCTCTACACCGGTTTTCAGTGACAACGTGGTGGAGTGAGCCAACCGATATGTGCCAAAGTACAAAGCAAGCCAACGACTACTCAAACCTGCAAGACATTTTTTTTTACCTTTAAAACTTCTTCAGAGGTCTTTATTTAACGCTTATAGGAATCAGTACAAAGACGTTCAAAAAGAAAAAACTATTATACGAGATACAGTGTATCGACCAGATTATTTGAAGAAGAAATTAAGAATATTTATACCTTTGCATAAATAATTTTATAATAATTTTATATATTTTATCGTGCATAATTTTAACGTGGCTAAGAATAGTTATTTTTTAAAGTAAAAATAACGAGGTTCATTGATTAGAGTTTAAAACTGATCTCCGTCTATTTGAGCAAGCTAGGGACTAATCTGACGATGGATGGTAGTCAATATACGCGACCAGTGAATTGTGTGCAGCGTCAAATGCATCTGACATGTGAATAAGTGGTGGGTGCGGACGCCACCACTACTATTAATTATTTCCATGTCGACCAACTAAGTATTAAACAGATTTTGCTGAGCCATTACTCGTGTGACTATTATGAGATATTTCATTAGGTACTGTGTCTAGCCTAGATAATCTAGTTATGTTTATTGTTATATATCTCTAGAGACACCATTACCACCATCCACACATTAAATTTATAATGAAAGTATTTGAAATTTCAAAACAACTACTGTTTTTGAATTTTAATAATAACTGGTATAACTGGACTATTAAAGGCTGTTGATGTGATGATGTGATGTGGTAACTAATTTAATAAAAATTAAAAAAAACTTCGCTTGTTTACATAGAGTCAATATTTCGTGAAAACAGATAAATGGTTAGGCACTTCAATATACATTATTACATTTAATTAAAAAAGTGTCAAGGTATAAAACATGTGAAATTGTTTGTGTATTTCTTATTATGAACCATCAGCATTCTTGATCTAATATAATTATATTGTACCCTTCCTCTTTATCTCAGCAAAACAAAGTTAAAATCTTTATTGTACATTTGTAGCTTTCGAATAAAAACCATGCAATTAGACAATTTTTTTACCCTAACATATACCCAATGCAACATTGTGTCTAAAATTCGCTTATTCACTTTTATTTACTTTTTTCATCTATGACGATCATTCAAATATAATAATCTCTTGCAACAATACATTCTAACACTAAATAGTTAAAAGTTTGCATTAGACATTTCATTGTTCTCTATGTTCTAAATCGGTAGGTACCTAAATGCCGTGTGTTTGAACGAACATTCGCAGCCTTAATAGATGAGTGTCGCAGCCGTGTGTCATCCGCAGATGGACGTCGCAGGGCATGCACAGTGAGTGTGGCACAAGTACCACTGCGCAGTCTGCGCACCCAGTGCAGATCTTGACGCCCGCACGTCATGCTTTATCGGGAACGATTCTACGTCAGTGTCAGCCGCTTGCTGAATGCAATTGCAGTCGTTACACCTAAATGTATGACTCTAATATAAATGAACGCTTATAGCAAAATTGATTTTTTTGAAGAAAAATAGGTCGGAAGTTTATACATTATTTGAAATTGAAGAGATATAATCAATTTAAAAACACCGACTGAAATGCTTTTACATGATGAATTGAAATAAACTGTACCCTTTCTTCCTAATTTTCACCCTAGGGATGGGATTTTTCAGCAAATTTTTATACTCACCCAAATAAAAAAAGCTTTTCCAAATCGGTTCATAAAAGACGGAATTCTGAGGTAAGAAACAAAAAACAATTACAGCTTGAAATGAAAATGCAAATTGATAACTACTATGGTGTTATTAACCCCAAATGTTTTTTTTTTTTTGAGCCGGTTAGAACACAATTATGTTAATCATTACAATTACATTATATTAATCTTTAAATAACTATTACCTAATAATTAGGGCTGATCTCGTGGGTGTTTTATAATAAAGTACCCACGAGGTCAGATCTAATTGTTAATAATTAAAAAAAAAAACTGTCTTCGTCAATAGATTTATTGGCAACATTACTTATTATCTTATTGACAACTGGAAAAAGAGTTTTCTTCTTGGATGCTCTGTTTCTTTTTGAATTAACTATTGTGTCCTGTTTAGATAATAGGTACTTGTAACGCTAAACTAAGCTTCGGTCAAAGTCAATTCAGTTCCCCTGTCATCACCATCAATAGCATTTAGTAGTCCACTGGTGGACATATGCCCCTCCTTAGAAAGGAGGTATTTTTTTTTTTTTTTTTTTTTTTTTTTTTTTTTTTTTTTTTATAATGGCTTGTTCTCCTCCAACATAATCGGAGACCTTTAGTGACTCTAATGATGATTACGTAACTGTTATATGTTACTGTATGATCTGTACATATTCGGCTGGATGGCAAGATGTTAACCTTCTACTTAGACTACATTACAAAAAAATTACTGCTATTTTATTAGCTACTATATTATATAAAATAGTACTTAACCACTATGTTCGATAACTAATTTGGCACTACTATTTCTATTAACTAACTAATTATTTATGGCTTACTATTTGACTTACTTTATGTTTATACACTACTTTTTCTTATGCTTATTTGTATATTATACATAATATAAATTAAGCATAGTTTTAATATCTATTTTTTACATACATTTTATACCTAGAGAACAAAATTTCAGCACTGACGTTCACCACCCTACGCTTCAATTGGCTTACTTTCAAATGAAAGCAAGACCAATTCGTTGGGATTATGTTCTCGACTGTTTGTTTATGTTTTTTGTGCCTGTGTCCTTTAGTGTGCCCTTTGTAGAGGTCTGAAGTGGTCAGCTCGGTGGTGTTGTCTTCGCGTGGGGCGCCCGCGGCAACGTCAGCAATACGCCACGGCTGCCCTCGCAAGCGCGTCCCACTTCTTCCGGACGGGGCACTGGTCACTATATACGCCGTGAGCGGTATCGCCTTGCTTCGCCTTTAGGCAGTTTCTGCAGGTCGGGGCTTGTGCTGCCAAAAACTGCTCACATTCCGCTTTTTTGTGGGGGCCTCCACAGTGGTTGCACAGGTCAACAGTTTCCGTGCATAGTTTGCGTCCGTGCCCATAGGCGAGGCACCTAGTGCACTGCACTAGCGGTGTTTGATCCTCAACCCGGACGCGCTGCAGGTCGATGTATACCCTGCCGACCGACACCAGCCTTTGGTACAGCGCGGGCGACACTTTGAGCACCATGTGGCACTCGTGCTGGTTACGTGCCCTGCGCCTGTATATGACTTCGGCTTGGCTGATGTCGGTCGCCAGGTCCCCCAATGCCTTTTCATTTTGTTTTAAGATGGCGGCTTTCACTTCCTCGTTGGTGTTGAAAGATAGTAAGTTTTTGAGGACCACCAACGGGCTCTTGTTTTTTGCCTCCTCATAGGCAATATTTGCGCTCTTTTTTAGGTGCTCCTCAACCCTGTCCAGCTCCATTTTGGTGGAGCAACTGAGGATGACCTTCCCGCCACGGATCTTCCTCAGTTTCTCCACCCGAACACCGCTCTTTTTGGCGTCCAGCGCCCCCCTAATATGTTGGACCACCTCGCCCGAGGTGTCCATTTCGTCCGTGGAGGAGACTATGAGGGAGTGCGTCGGCTTGTGCTCCCACGGTGTTGCTGGTTGTTTCCGTACCGCATCCGCGTAGGAGGGAGAGGCTCCAGCCACGAGGTCTCGTATCTGGAGGCCCTCTACTGCGGTTTTCATCCCACGCAGCTCCTCCACAATCTCCGCATCCCCGTCCGCGGACGTGATGCGGGAGCTCAGGACCTCGACTTTTTCATGAACGTAGTTCTTGACCTGCGCTGCACTATCGCTCACCACCTGGGTTATCCTCCTACAGGTTTCTTCGGTAACCATATTGGTGGTTGTGTTTGTAACCTCTGTACTTTCTTCTATCCTTTCTTTTAACTTGTTTTCCAATTTTTTAAACCTTTGTTGGAGGCTTTCTTCTATTTCCTGCAAGAACGCTTTATTAGTACAGACGGTCTCCGATATGGAGTCCATTTTTTCGGTTAATTTGTAAATTCTGTCCTCCCTTTCCTCGGTCGGCTCGCTCCGCGGTTCTGCCCTTTCTTCCGCCGGTCTCTTTTCCGTTTTTTCCCCCTCCTTAACCAATTCGTATAGTCTCCCGATCGCCGCAGTCACGTCAACTTTGATGTCGCCTCGGATATTTCTGGATTGTGTTAGGAGTGATTTGGCCCTGACCACAATGGCCTTGGCCTCCGCACTCCTTGAGGCGTAATGTTTTTTAGCTGCTTTGGCGATCGGCGGCGACCAGGTTTGCGCCTCTGATGACGTTCGGCGCGTGAGTACTTTGGTTTCGTTTAAGGAGGAGGGGACCACTCTTGGTTTTGCCGCCGTCTTTGTCGGGGGGCCAGAGGGCCGTATGATCGGCGATTTGGTGGGCGATCTCCTCGGCGCTGGTTTGCCGCCCTCCCATTCGCCGATGCTGCGCCTCACATTGGAGGTCAGCGCCGGCGGCGCCGAAGGTCCCGCCCTGGTAAACTCCGGGCTCTCGGCTCCAGGAGAGGCTTCTACAGCCTTTTTTGCTGGTGTCCTTACACAGGACATGGTGGTTTTCTGTTGTGTGTGCGGTGTGTTGTATAAGGACCACCGACGCACACGAGAAGGGTTGTTCCGCCGGTATAGGCTTGTCAGGTCTATAATAATAGACAGAACAACTGCAAAAGCAGAGTGAAAATAGAAAGAACAAATAAACAATTCAAAATAAAAAGTCTAAATCAAAATAGCAAAGCAATGAACTACAAGTCGATATCTCTGCGCAGCAGAGAGGTCATATGGGGTAGGGATGTATGGTCCCTAGTCCTAATCCTAAAACAAAAGTCAAATCAAAATAAAATAGTAAAATAAAAATAAAACTAAAATTAGCAGTTACCAGTAACACTCTGTCTAAGCTAGGGGATGTGACGTCCCTGTCCCAAAACTGTCTAAAATAAACTAAACTAACTAAAAATATAAAAAAATATTATAAAAATATTTTGCTCCCCTGCTTTCACCCAAGTGTTTGGCTCCCCTGCCACAGAATTTACCACCCTGATCGACTTCGGGAGTTTTTAATTTTCTACCGAACGGATTTTAACAAACGAGGTGTCGGGTGATAGGGCTAGACGAGCCCTATCCGAATATGTAATAATTTGGAAAAACAAATGAGGGGTTGCCAAATTATAAGCCGAAAACGTGTAAATTTAACAAAATTTTACACCGAAAACTATCTTTCACAGGTGATAGGTCTCCGACGGGACGCCGGAGGTGCTTCAGGCGGCGGTGGTATGCAGGGGAGGTGTCAACGCAGCGATGGTGTAAGCTTCCAGCACCAAAACGACCAGGAACACAGGTAGGTATACTTTTAAAAGTATGTTTTTGTAGCTTTTGTTACAGAATTACAACGAAAATTGAAAATTTTAGAAAATCTACACAGCGAAACCCCGGAAAAGAGGTGTCCGCGTATAGGCGACGCCGTTGCCGAATTTTAGAAACCAAAATGATCGATATATGTTAGAAAACAAAAGAGTTATTAATTTTTTGTTGAAAATTTTCAAAGTAAATATATAGGCGTCAATATATAAGTTTTGTGATAAATTCAAATAATATCTATCCGAAACAGTATATAATAGCTACTGGTGTATCAATAGAACGCTCAGGTACAAGTTCAAAGTCAATTTTAGCTAGAAAACTTTAGGTCGATTTTCAAAGATTCACTCCCTTAGGTAACCTCGGTATCGATTAAGTCGATTATTGAATGTGAAAATATAATCTCGGTACAATTTTTAATTTTCTACCGAACGGATTTTAACAAACGAGGTGTCGGGTGATAGGGCTAGACGAGCCCTATCCGAATATGTAATAATTTGGAAAAACAAATGAGGGGTTGCCAAATTATAAGCCGAAAACGTGTAAATTTAACAAAATTTTACACCGAAAACTATCTTTCACAGGTGATAGGTCTCCGACGGGACGCCGGAGGTGCTTCAGGCGGCGGTGGTATGCAGGGGAGGTGTCAACGCAGCGATGGTGTAAGCTTCCAGCACCAAAACGACCAGGAACACAGGTTGGTATACTTTTAAAAGTATGTTTTTGTAGCTTTTGTTACAGAATTACAACGAAAATTGAAAATTTTAGAAAATCTACACAGCGAAACCCCGGAAAAGAGGTATCCGCGTATAGGCGACGCCGTTGCCGAATTTTAGAAATCAAAATGATCGATATATGTTAGAAAACAAAAGAGTTATTAATTTTTTGATGAAATTTTTCAAAGTAAATATATAGGCGTCAATATATAAGTTTTGTGATAAATTCAAATAATATCTATCCGAAACAGTATATAATAGCTACTGGTGTATCAATAGAACGCTCAGGTACAAGTTCAAAGTCAATTTTAGCTAGAAAACTTTAGGTCGAAAGGAGGTATTGGCCTATGAAGTGGTTATCACCATCAAACGCGTGATGATAATTGCTGATGACAACTGCTACAGCCTACTATACCAAACTGGCCAGACGGGCTGGTAGAGTTTGTTTCAAGTTTTACTTTTCAGTTCCTCAGTTAGCTAGCTTAAGGTAGCTTAGTTTTGAACACAACAATTTGACTTACACACTTTTTAGAAATATCTAAATGATTACGAAAAAGTTTCTCACCTTCAATCACTTTGTCTGCGTTACTGTCTTCATTTTCCTCTCCTTTGCTCTTCTCAGTAGATCTATTTTCATCTTCTACTTCACGTTCTCTGTCATCAACAGCATCATTATCTCCTTCCTCGTCATTGTCATTATCTGACTTTTTTCCACCCTCTTCAGCCACGGATGTCTCTTCATTCCAGTCTTCTTCCTCTGCTGTAAACAAAAATATATAAAATAGTGGGGACAACGATAAACCTGAAACCCAATTTCTACAGAAAGAAAGTTGAGGGGAGTGCAGCATTTTTATTAGAATAAAATAATATTTTCTGTGTAGGTACGTAGGTATATGGGAAATTGATGCTCTCAAAGCTTGCATAAGATGTTAATGTCAAATGCTAATGTAGTTTCAATCTAAAATCTAACTGTCAAATAATTCTTTGTTCGAAAACTCTCTCATCATCATCAACAGCCTTTAATAGTCCACTGCTGGACATAAGCCTCTCCTGAGAAAGGAGGTTTTGGCCTACTATACCACGCTGGCCAGACGGATTGGTAAAGGGTTTGTGTCAAGTTTTCCTTCTCTCTGCAGTGCTGTTGTCCTGCTTAGTTTTTTCCCTTAGTCGGCTCTTACGACACCCACGGGATGAATAGGGGTGGTGACACTCTGTATTCTTAATCCGTCACCACACGGACACGGACGAAAACTCTCTAAACTAAACTAAAAATCACAAAAAAAATCGTTTAGTGCTATCAAACAACGTTTCGCATTCTGAAAAAGTTACTTAATTTAGTCCATACTTAATTATTTGTTATTCTACTCGTATTGTACGTTCTAACCGTCAAAGATTGACTAAAATTAGAAATGTCAGACTAAACTTAGACCTTATCTAAATACATGCCTACTAATTTGTTGATTATACTGTCCAAGTATAAATTCTTTAATTTTGTGAAACAATTTTTCATGATGAATAGTGGTTACATGTTTTGCCTCTGGTCAGTTTAGCAGAAAGTTATGGGCATCATATTTTTCATCTTAAATCTCAATTATATTTTTAGAAACTAAAGAAGTCGGTTTGAATATATTCAAGACATCTCCAGCCAAATTGAGATGGATTAGAGAAAGAGGAGAAGTTTCTGAAGCTTTTTAGGCTCCTTAGTTTAGGTCTGGAGCTTGGCTTAGGGAAAGTACTCGTCACATTGAACCTATTTTTCAGGTTTTACCGGTATTTCATTCCATCCTTTTTTTCTTGAGGGAGTTACAAAGCTTCTGCAAGCCAGGCCATTTCACCAAAAGAAATTAACAAAAAATATCAGGGCGAGCGTTGAGAACAATGACGGATGCAGATAAGCAATAATGTGTTAACTCTCATCAACTTTGTTTTGAGAAAATGGCGTCTTAAGATGTTAAACCTATTTTTATAAAATTTGCTTCAAGAAATATCCATCCACTGTTCTTTTCTCTGTTTAATAAAAAGAATAATGGGTTCGAAATAGATTACTATTACAAAAAGACAACAAACTAGTATATTCTTCCAAATAAATGAGATTACTGCATATTGCAAAATATGGAACACGCTGTAATAATCAAAACATTAAATTAAGGAACATAGCACTGTTTTGCAAAATGCCGGTACCAAGTCATTGAATGACAATGAATGCATGTTAAGGAACATAAATGAATATTGATAAACACATGTAATCACTTAAATAGTTTGTCAAATAGTTTTGAGTAAAACTCTGAATATATTAATTTAAACTTTCATTAATATAAAAAATACAAGAAACCTAAACCTTATAAACAAGTCATCTATCTAATATAACAAAAAACAGAATTGAATATACATTTTTCTTCTTCTTTCAAGAAATATATTTTTCTTTTCCTCAGAATAATCTTTTTTCAACAAAATATTATATCATATATGTATATATTTATATAAATATTATTACAGTTACCAACTTAAATTGTATGTCAACAATAACTTCTGATAAGTCTTATGAGAATAATCATTTTCTTAATGTTTTGTTAATGAGATATTTTATAATCACTTTCACTTAAACAACTAATATAATTATACAAAAGTCAGGTATATGTTTAAGAGCTTTTGTTTTTTGAGATCTTTAGTATTTATAAAGTATTGTATGGAGTGAAAGAAGTGTACAGGAAATAGAAAGTTATTAAAATGAATGTAATTATAGACTGAGACATATAGCTTGCACACAAGTATTGACTAACTGTTGTGATAAAACTTGTAATGATATTACTCATAGACTTTCAATTGATAATCTTTACTTTAACTTTGTAACTGCGCTAACCGAGGCGGCCAGGGTGGGTCGAGGAAGCAGCAAGCGTATACGAAGGAAGTATATTACAGGATGGAACAAACATGTCGCTGAGGCTCACAGACAGGCTAAACAATCATTTTTGATTTGGAACTGGCATGGTAAACCTACCAGTGGTAAAATTTATATAGATATGTGTGAGACCAGAAAAATATTTAAATCTCGTCTAAAATGGTGTCAGGATCACGAGCGACAAATTAAATTAGATATGCTGGCAGCAAATCATTCAAACAATGATTTCCGCGCTTTCTGGACAAATACTAACAGACTGAGTTACAAGTCGGGGCTGCCTGTGAGCGTCAGTGGGGTGACAGATCCTAAAGATATTGCTGATCTCTTTAGGGATCATTTCTACGTAAAATCACCATTGGGACCTTCTCGGATGACGATCAGTAGGCCGACATGGATCCGGGGATTCATTTTGAAGCCCAAGAAATTACCAAATTTATCAATTCTATGACTAAGGGCAAATCTCCCGGCCATGACGGTCTCAGTATAGAGCATCTCCGGTATGGGGGACTCCATCTGCCAAGAGTGTTGGCACTGCTGTATTCGTTATGTATGACGCACAGCTATATGCCTGGGGATATGCTGCGCACTGTGGTGGTGCCTATAGTCAAAAATAAAACTGGCGATCTTGCCGATGTTTCGAACTATAGGCCCATATCCTTAGCCACGGTTATTTCTAAGGTGTTTGACGGTATGCTTAATATGCAGTTGAATAAACACATCCATCTCCACGATAATCAATTCGGTTTTCGTCCAGGCTTATCAACGGAAAGTGCTATACTGTGTCTTAAGCATACTGTGAACTACTATGCAAAGCGGAACACTTCAGTGTATTGCTGTTTTCTCGACCTGTCTAAGGCATTTGACTTGGTTTCGTACGATATTTTATGGAAGAAGTTGGAAAAATGTGAATTACCGACTCCAATGATAAACACAATTAAATACTGGTATGGTAATACAATTAATAATGTCCGCTGGGCAGGTACTTTATCGCATCCGTATGGGTTGGAATGCGGGGTGAGACAAGGGGGCTTGACCTCACCAACGCTTTTCAACCTGTACGTTAACGAGCTGATCGGTGAACTTAGTAGTGCAAAAGTCGGATGTCATATTGATGACATTTGTATAAATAATGTCAGCTACGCAGACGACATGGCGCTGCTAAGTGCGTCGCCATGTGGCCTGCGAAGGCTTGTTCACATATGTGAGAAGTACGCCGAAAGACATGGCCTGGTGTACAATGTTAAGAAAAGCGAGGTCATGGTTTTTGAGGCTAAGGGTGGAGGCCCTAAGGATGTGCCACAGATACTTTTAAATGGGCATCCATTGAAAAGGGTATTTAAGTTTCGATATCTAGGGCATATTTTAACTCCTAGCCTCAAAGACGATGAGGATCTGGAAAGGGACCGGAGGGCGTTGTCGGTGAGAGCGAACATGTTGAGCTGCAGGTTTACACATTGTTCGAATAATGTTAAGATCACACTCTTCAGAGCTTACTGCACGTCTTTCTATACGTGCAGCCTGTGGGCTACATATACTCGAAAAGCATGCAACTCCTTCCGTATCCAATACAACAATGCGTTTAGGGTGCTGTTGGGGCTACCCCGCTTCTGTAGTGCGTCCGGGATGTTCGCAGAGGCGCGAGTGGACTGCTTTCACACTATTATGCGAAAACGGTGTGCATCTTTGGTGCGCAGGGTGCGGGCTAGCTCTAACAGCATACTAGCCATGATCACAGAGAGGTTAGATTGCAGGTACATTGGTCACTGCAGCGCCGTCTCTCATGGATATTAAATAAGTAAATTGTCACTACTAACATAGGATAAGTTTTATGTATTACTAACAAGCAATGAGTCATGGTTACTCCAATAAAATGATTATTATTATTATTAAAAAGTTAACTTGTAACTTACAATAAAAAGTCTTTCTTTACTTTACAATATTAAATATCAAAATGACTAACCTAATTATTTTGAACTTAAAGTGTACATAACTTTTATTCAGTCTCATTAGAGAATTACTTTGCGTTAATCTTCTTTAACCATCGCTCGTATTAATAATTATAACCAAGGAAACAGCATAAGCTACTATTGTAAGTAAATAATAAAGTATTTAATCTTCAATATAATTTTCTTCTATATCATAGTCAACAGAATTACCCAAGCCATCAGTATCATTAATAAAATCACTCGAAGCAGCATTCCTCAAGAAATTGTAAGAGCCTTTTGCATCTGTTGGAATGAGCTTTAACAATTCTCTCAGGTCTTTAATTTTTGCAGTAGATAGTTCACGACCAGTCGGGTATAGAATAGGAAGGTCTAAATCGAAATTCGGTTTCTGTTTCCGACCCTTTCCACCTTTTGATATATCAATCACCTGAGGTTCCTCTTCAAGTTTTGATTTCATGAAAAGTTTTGATGGTTCTTCACGGCGCAATTCTATTTCAAAAGTTGAAAGCCAAGATATCTTTTGTTTATTTCCATCATATTTACTATTTGTAATGACATTTTTTTAAGGTGTTACCGATTTAAAATCATCTTTTTGAAGCCTAGTGACTACAAACTTGTTCTTGCGGTGGCAGTTCTGCATAACAGAAATATAATCTTCTGCAGTATATAAACGTATCTGTGATTTTAAAGCACATTCAACGTCTCCGAACTCTGAGTCATTCGGAAGATAAGTATGTCCCGGCTGAAGGAATCTAATAATTATTTTTTGTAGGGTTGCAGAGCAATGTAAAATATATAAAAGCATCAGCATCATTTTGATGCTTCTGTTTTGTCCGCCACATGAATCAGAGCTGAGTTATGTCAGGTTTTAAATGCGTGCTAATAATTTTTTTAAACAAGATCCCACCTCTTGGGTTCCACGCCCTGCTTCGTGCTCTAGCCAAATATGAAAGTATCCCTTTTTTTCAGATTTACAATGTATGCCTAAGTTATGAAAGTTCAGTTGGCACTTATAATAAACTATACTGGTCCGTAATCGCGGTAAACAGTGCGTCTTTTCTAAGTCAAAAGTCAGCGTTTCTATTGAATCATTGATTTTAGCAGTAGCCAAGTCCTTTTTCATTTGGTCTCTTAATTTGCAGGCATGATCCAAATGAGCTGTATGTTCTGTTTCTAATAAAGATAATTATTCACCGGTAGCGATGGTTTTGTTTGCTTTGTATAAGTCACAACGTAAGCACGTATCTTTTTGTGGCTTTTTAAATCTGAGATTAAAATCTTTGTAGAAAGATACCCTGAATCTAGAAAAACTTACATGATTCTCATATTTTTCTTTATAAAGAATATAAATGATGGACAAGTTCAAATTTGGAGACAAAAATATTGCTGATGTGCTATCTCTACAGTAATGAGAAGAATACTTAGGCAAACTTTCTATAAATTGCTTTATTTGCAGCAATTGTTCTTCATCGATTACGTTTTTACCCCCAGATTTAACTCCCCTTTTATCATCAATAGGCGCTTGCTCTCTAAATTTGTTAAGAGCTACATCAATTCTTGATTGACTAATGCCAAGAGTAATTAAAAAAGCCTTTTTTACAGACTGGAATATTACACATTCTGTATTTTCTACTAAAAGCTCGCTTAGAATGTATGAAATAAGATCTGATCTTTTTAACTTCAATAACGCCACCCTGTAATATCGCACATCTAGTTTTATAAGAACCAGAACTCCAGAATTTCTCAAATTCCTTTTTACGCTGATCTATAGATATTTTCTCTGTACACTTTAAAGGACATTTACAATCGCTACTGTTAAACTCCTTCGCACAAACCTTTACTCCTTTCGCATTAAAGTAATTCTGATTGTTATTTGCTTTTTTTTTCTTATACTGCTGTTCTGGTCGACGAATTTTCTCTTGCGCCCTTTTTAGGTCTACCATTGTATAATGATGACAGCTTTTCAGAATCATCGTCGTTGATTTCGATTATGTGATTAGGGTCTTCAGTGTTGATACAATTCTCATTAACGGAATTTATAACATTAACAGTGGCTTCTACAAGTTCTTTATCAATAGTTGGGCGATAGTGACTTTCTTCAATAGGACTAGAAATATTTTTATTCAAACTCTTATCATCAATTGCGTTTGAATTATTTTCGTAATTTTTATTAGCTAATATCTCACTTCCTTCATTTTTATCTTCTTCACTAACTATGGTAACTTTTTCTCTGTAAAAATCTGTAACTATATCAGTTTGGACCTTATTATTATTTAGTTCATCGTTTACAAACTGCAGTTTTCTTTCATCAATGGACTGGAATAAAAGGTTGATTGCATCTGATGAGGTTGAGGGAATTATCTCCATACTATTAGGGTCATATAAAATATTTGTGTCTAAATGATCCAGTAATTCAATAATTACTGGTGAATTAATGCTATCCGTTGAAAAAAAATCTGGTAATACTTCATACGTTAACGGACTATTACACCTAGTCTTTTGTAATCCGACAGAATTGTGTAAATCTAGATCAGTACTCATAGCGAGTGCAGAGGGGTCTTGAGGTTTATTTGAGTCAACAGGTCCATCATTTTCATTAAAAACTTCTCTTGTATTAGATTTCGCAAGATTGACCAGTAGTTTTCCCTTTGATCTTGGCGGTGACATCTCTCTACAACAAAATAGAAATATACTTTTTTATTGGTATTATCAGATCTAGAACGATTTTTAAATACAATATCAACATACTTAACATATAAGCTATCTCTCATAAAAAGTTAATTAACATTCAGTAATTGTAAGTATTCTATTCTTGTCAAGCACCGTAAACTGTACTATAAGCTATATTAAAAGGTCTTTCATTGTTTAGCAACAATGTGTTATGCTGTTATAGCTATTATAGTACGACATATGGTATTCTGTTGTATTTAGCAATAATCAGTTAAGTGAATTACCATAATTATTTGTGACAAAAGTTACAATAAGTCAATCTGATGGGACCAAATTACATTATTTTAGCATAAAAAAGAACTTTGAAGGTGACATATACCTACCCAAGTATTTATTTTATTCCTTGTCTAATTCAAACCGGCTATATAACCTATAAAATAATTACTCATGAAAATCTTGACATAACAGAATAATTACAGACTTACCTTGATGACTCCAACGTGGATTGCGTATAATTCACTAAAACATGGGTTTATTGAAGTAATTTAGTACTTAAAATGAGGATATAACTTTGGAATTTATTATTTTACGAAGTGCTCATTGTTTGGCGCTGCGCGGTTTGTTGCTGAATGATATTTAGCAACAAACTGTCAAGCCTCATAACATATTTTTCATGACGACAGATATCGTGTCTTTGAATTTTGATGATGTTAAGGAATTTAAAAGATTATTGACAAATATTGTATACATGATTTACGATTTGTTTTATGATATAAATCGATTTTTTTCGTACTTTTATGTTTTAGGTGACTTGAAAAACTTTCTTAGAATGTTAAATCCTTGATGCACTATAAAAATATATAAAAACCTTGGAATTTGACTTTTTGTGGGTTGACACATTATTGCGTATCACCATCCTATTGATTATCAATCTATGCACTTTTATGGCACTCTTTACTGAAAAACTATCACACTTTCAGGTATGGGCTTTCACACAGTACTTTCAATTGAGGTCTTGATCTATCGTAAAAATATTATATTACATATAATAAAAATAGAAGATGTAACAATTTTTATTAATTAGAATTTTATTTTACGGATTACTGACGGCTTCTGAAATTATAAAACTTATATAACTACTATCTATATTTATTTAAATTTTTTCAACTGGACTATTACTTTTAACGCCATCTCTTATAAAACTCAAGAAGTAATATCAATCTAAACAGTGTTTGGATAAAAGTATAATTCATAAAGTCCATATTAATAATTTACATATTACATATAAAAAATAATTCGCTTTAAAAACCGTCTTGAAAATTATTACCAGGTAGAAAACTTTGCGAGCCCTACTAAAGCACCGCCTTTTGCTAGTTCATTTAATTATTTATACTCTAGCTTATGTATTTATTTTCAATTGGGTTGATGTTAGTGTTTGTTAATTATTTTGTTACAAAAACCTATTTATCGTGCCACATTAAAAATCCTAATAATATCATTTCAAAAGATTTTTTTAATTCGCTCTTTTCTTTTTTTTTTATTGTTGGGGGGGGGTATAAACTACTCCCAGCACTGCTTTCGCCTCCTTTAAGCGAACCTCAAGGTAAAGGTATTCAGCAGAAGCAGTGCTGGTCGATGTGGAAGAGGTTAAGACTTTGTACGGAAAAGACCTGCGAAGGTAAATGGCAACACCCCCACCTCTCCTATCGGTTCTGTATATACGTATGAGAATATGGTCCCGGTCCGTATGAGAGTATGACCCCCATGATGGGGGCGGTGTATTGTCCCTTGACAAACCCAAAGACAGACTCAGTCTTTTCTGTTGACTTTGACGGGCAGAAAGTTCACCCACCAGCTGAATCCATTCAATCAGTCTACTCTTCACCAGGACTTGAGTCGGATTCTAAGCTTGATTATTTAGCGTCAGACAAGGGCCCATATTCGATATATGTTTCTAGACTTGAACCTTATATTTGCCCAGTTCTTATTAAAACAAAAAATAAATGATATTGTTGAAGTAACATTCAAAAATTTGGGCCGCAATAAGGTCTCCGTAGAATTCACCTCATTCCAAATTTTTCGCATCGGTGTTGTTAGGAATATCCCAACTGAGTGAATTCTGGAGCAGCTCATCTCTGGAATTTCATGAATTTCAAAAAATTGTGGAGAGTACCTAGTCGCCTAGCACGAACGACCGTTCGTGCTAGGCGACTAGGTACTAGGACCCAAACCCTCTGTTTGGGTCCCATCTAACTCAGTATCATATCATATCATATCATATATCATAGACATTTTTGTGATAGATCCTTCCTAAGATTATTTTTGTTTTAATGCATCTTTGCCTGTATGCCTACCAATTACCTACTATTCAATTTAGGAATTGTTGTCGGTTTGGCCACATTGCTAAACAGTGTAGGTCTCAGCCCTACTGCTATAAGTGTGATCAGCCACACTCTGATGATTACTGCCGGGTCCCTGCCGCACAGGTATCCTGCTTTTTGTGTCGTGGTGGTAGTCATTGTGCTACTGATAGCAGATGTCCCGCAAACAGTCGACAAAAATCTATTAAAATTGTTATGTCTCAGGAAAACCTGAGTTACATTGAAGCATCAGCCAGATTCCCTCAGTCTCCCAAGTGGCTATACTCTGTGGCTGCTGCCAGTCCTAAATCCTCTGCTAACTTCTCTCCAAAACCTCAAACTCATCAAACCTCCATACGGGGGGTATGGAGGTTTCACCCTCATCTTCTCCTTTCATATCATACAAAAAAACAGTTAACCTTACCCC